TTTTTTAATATATTTTAGGCTGAAAAAATATTACCAATCTAGCATAACTCTTAACACTGCAAAAAAATACATCATCCAAGGTACTTTGTTTTTTACCATACGGTGTAATGTTTGCCTTACCCTCAGGGCATGAAACTGATATAAAAAAATAAACCAAATAAGCAAAACCCACAAACCTCACAGACAAAGGAAGAAGTCCTCCCAACCAACTTCATGAAAACAAATAAACAACCCAACCCACCCTTCTCTTCAAAAAAATTATGAATGACTAATTTGATGTATTTATGAGCAAACCAAAACCAAAGAGTGCTAAGGAAGCAGGAAAAGAGAAAAAGAAATTACAGTATGTCAGCTAGTTCATGCCCTGATACTATCTTTACCAACATTAAATGTGTAATTAAATAAAGTGTCTTTTAATGTTTTACATTGTGCTCAGTAATTTACATAATTTAATCTACACCTGGGTGCTGATGTAGATTTACATTTGATTGTCTTGTGCATAAACAAGGTTAGCTTTTAAAGAAGGTAAACTGTGCAATGGACAGTCACACACAACTTATTACCTGCACAATATTGCTTTTTGAAGGCGACATCAGTCAATGTGGATACACACAAATAATGCACACTCTTTGCATTTGCTAACATCTATACGACACACTAAAACTTCGTGATAAGGCCAAACCTTTTTTTTTTGTTTTTAATTTTAAAGCAAAAATATACCATAGTAAAAAAAACGTGCTCACACCATTTTGAGTCTTTAAGTGGAAAATAAATCTCTATCACACTAGAATAAAATTCTCTCTATAAAATTTAAATACGGATCACTTCATTGCTATATCAAAAGGAAACGTCTGGCAATCATTTCCAGATGATCACAATAACAAGACACATTAAGAGGTCCTGTCACCTCCTCCTTTGTGAAAAGATAAATGTTGAACGCTTTCAACTGCTCTCACAGTGAGAGGAATATGTTCCTTGGTTGTGGATTTTGATTCTGTCAGTGAAAAAGGTTTAGCCTTAGGAATGCTGGCTACATCTCAAAACTGTAAGACGGATTTTTATAATTTATGATTCATGCAGCAAGAAGTCAATATGACACATACAGGTTAGAGTTCCATAGCGTAAAAATACATCACTAGCAATGACATGCTCCGCTTGTGATCAACAGCCCTGTCTTGGCAGGTTTCTGATATAAATGGTCTTTCTGGACAGCTTTTTCCTTTTTCTGATGCCTGCCTCTGAAGAAGCAAGCGGTCTGCTCAAGGATGATTTTGGACCTTGGAGGTCTAACTCTAACGCCTACATTTTGGCAAAATGTAAACAAAAACCATTATCACGCACTATATATGTCATTATAAATATAATAACTGAGATTATGCATGAAATGAGTATCTAAATGCACATGTTACCCAGGGCAAAGCCATGAACGGTGACAATCAGGTTTGACAGGAAGAGTCTTCTATGTAAGACCCACACGTAGACCACAAAGCAGACATGAGAGTTACGCGGCACCATCAGAAACGAGACTCTGGACAGCACTGGAAAGTGCATGTTCGTTATTTCACTCCGAAGGCCAGTTACTACAAAGGGCGCTGACTGCAGTACCGATGTCTGTCACTCAGATGGTCAGTCCAGGGGCTCAATCCTACAATGGCTTGAGACCACTTGTATTTAAAAGTAAGTATGTCTTTGCAGAACTGAGGTCAGTATCCACTGGTAAGAGTCTAGAAGAGCAGCCTCACGTGATCTAGTTTTGCTCTCGTGATCAGATAAATGAGGAGTCGTACTGAGGGAGTCAAAGAAGTCACACAAAGTAAGCCTGACAGGAGATCAGAGGCCATTAGATGTCAGTACACCAAATCTATCCAACTTACGAGCTTGGTCTTAGTTTTCAGTGGCCATTAGATGTCAGTGCATCAAATCCATCAAACTTAAGAGCTTGGTTTTAGTTTTCAATCAAGGAACACTACTAATCCCCCTCTGTTAATCAGTGCCAGACTCCAACTTCATCTAAAAAGCTAGAAAAGTATGTTGACATCTGTTCTTACCGCTTAGAGCACTGCCAAACCTGTCAAAGCTGGTTGCCTGATTTTAGGTACTTTGGTCCATCTGCAATCACCCAAGGAATGCGGCCTGATTTTCAGAACCCTGATTACGCACAACTCCCAACTGCACCAGCATCTTGGGAAGTCAGGCCATTAGCTTATACGCCTAAACACAGCTTAGGTGCCTGAATTCAGACACCCATTTATTTACGCAGGCTGTTTTAAAACTTTTTAACTTGCCATGGTAGACCTTGGGGGACAAGTTCCTGTATGAGCAATAAATTTCACAGCAGCCAGTGAGCAAAGCATTAATTGGCAGCACTGTCTCAAACTGCAGTTCTGTCCAGGGCCTTTCAAGTTGTTTCATCTCTTGCTGCTTCCCCAAGTCAATCCAGCAGCTCTCGGATTTTTTTCTAACCTCTGATCTTATTTTTTGATTAATGCAGTCCTGACAATCCCAAGTGTTCAAAAGCTAGTTATGAGGGCCCCAGTAGTTATGAGCTAAGTCACTGTTGGGTAATGACTTCCCACCTAAATAATCAACATTGAGGCTACTGATTTTCTTTATAGCCCAAAGGATAAGAACTGTTGACCTTAATGACAAACTGAAACTCTCCAGCAGCAACACAACTCCTGGAACTCAAGCTCTGAGAAATACACAAAGCATCATGCACTTTGTACTGAGACCATTGTGACTACTACTAGGAGAAACGTGCTGTTTTTCCTCCCGGGTCTCATCCACAGCACAGACAAAAGCTTGTATGTTAACTCAGGCTCACATTTAGCAAACGTGAGATATCTGCACCGGCTCCAGGAGGAACTCCACGCTCAGATCCATGGCAGAACAGAACTCCAAAAGACATGCGCATTTCTCTTTTCTTCACAAGCCATTGTGGGTGTAGATGCAAGTAATGGATTAGCTGGGTTTTCCTTTCCCTATATGCCACCAGTTCCTTATCAAGTCACCCCCAAAACAGATACCTTGCACTCTTTACTGACTATGGATGCTGCTCATCTGAGATCCTGCATGAATGCATGTGAGTTCATCACATTGTCTGGCCTCTTGTTCCAAAAAGCTAGAAAGTTTCTAACTCCTCGTCCCCAAGACATGGTGCTCTACAAAGAATTTGGATAAACACTGATGTTAACACATATGCTTCAAGACTGAGCAAACACAGCCCACAACAGACGTTCTTCAACTTCAGTAGACATTTAAGAACAAATTTCCAATGGTCTGTCTTCCTTGCTAACTGCACAAAAACCCCTAAGCACCCCGTTGTGTTTTATGTTCTCACAAAATTATGGGCACAAACCCCTAAGTGATAACATCAGTGCTCACAAGTCATCACAGGTGCATATGGTATCAAACAACAGGGAGAACAAGATTCCATATCCCTGAAAACACAGCCAATGGCACTCAAAATGCTTTATCAATGATGTTTTCACTGTGTTCCACCTACAAGATAAGTTTTCCTGAGTATCCTGTTTTCATGAGGGAATAAACACGTAACATATGGGTTTAGATATGGGCTATAAGCTTTGAAAGTCAACATGTCTACCCTAACAATGCCCACTGACTTGCCAGGCAAACATATCAATAAATAGTAGAAAAAGAAACTGATACAAATGAATGCACAACACGAAAGAAATTGGGGTATGAGGAAGTGCGAAATACATGAACTAAGTCTCTGGTTCCCAGGAAGAACAGAAGGATGCTTTTGATGTATCACACAAATGGTTTAATATCAAGTTTATAAAACCGAGGGACAACACCCCTGAATGGAGATGGATGACAGAGAGGAACCTCTACCTATAATGCCCTCATCACCGGCCTCCAAACATTCCAGGACTGTGAGTACTGGCTTGCAGATTTCGGCAGCAGGACATCCTGTCATTGCTCAGTTTGGTTCCTGCTAGTGCAGTTAGAGGATATAAATTGAAGGAATCAAGAGAGAATCTAGCCAAATGAAACGCATACAGACCCCAAAGAGGGAGAACCTAGCTGATCAACACACATAAATGCACACATGCACAGGAGAAGGTGAGAGGAGGAGAGAGAGAGAAGATAAAAATATGGAAATAAGTTTAAGACATCCGCTGAAGATTTGTATTATATATATATAAAATTATATATATATATGTGCATATAAACTTTATATATATATATAAAACAAAAGATTACTGCCAAGCAACACTATTTGTATCACTGGGATAAAGCTGTACAGTCTTGAGTGTCATTAATAACGCAGTTGGTTTCTGTCCCATCTGAAGGTCACCCTGTATGTTTCGCTCTCCTTATCCTCATTCTATGAGCATTCACATCCCTGAATAACTCCGAGGTAAGCCTGCTATCCTGATGGAGAGCCTTCTCCTTCAGAGTGCTGAATTTTCCACACACCTCAGAAAAATCAGACCTCTCCACTCAGCAAAAGCACCTCAGAGGATCAAATTTCCCTCCTTACTCCAACAGACCTTCCAGCGAAGTTACCTGGAGTTCAAATGTAGTAAGAACTGAAGGATCTTACTTTCTTGTACACATGGAAAAAAAAAAAAAAGAGTCAGTCCCTTCTAACATGCTGCCTTATTTTAAGCACTTGATTTATGGGGCATAGTTAAACTGTATCTGCTGGAACAATCCTCAGATAATGATGGGATCGTGATGATGATGAAGATCCTAGATCATAATGGTGATTGTTACAACAGAAACAACTGTGAAGACTAGAAATTTCATCTCATGAAATGGTCACTTATGCACTGCCAAATGAGGTAATACCAGCCAGAACTGCCAGGGTCAAATTAACAATAGCTGTTCTAACTTGAAGGCCAATTTATTTTCTGCCACTTCAATTTCTCTCCTGTATTTTCCAAGCAATGATGTGTGTGAGCTGGTGACCACGCAAGTGCTGGTGAATGAGATTGGTCTGTTTGTATTTTCACTGTTAAGCTGTCAAAGCATTCACATCAAAGGACTGAAGAACAAATTGCAATAGTCACAAGTACCCGCATTAAAGGGATGTTTTCACTCATGTGTATACAACTGCCCCCAGCAACCCCAAATGAAAACCCAAACAAAACCCCAACCCCGCCTCAAGAAACAGAAGAGAACGAAAGAAGAACAAACAGAGGTGAGAAGAGCCGGGCAACGGGATGAAATGACAGCCAGTAGTGCGACGGGGGCGTGGAGAACCCCTCCAGTCTCTCTAATCCTCAAACACTTCCAGGAACAACGGAGGGAAGAGTTCTGTGGGGCACTCCACCTTCATGTGCAGGAAGCGGCTGGCATGGCAGGCTCCGATCATTCGCAGGTCTGTCACTTTCATCAGCAGTTTTGGCCAAAAGTGTGCAACGTGGTGTTTTCTGTAATTAATGTAGTGTTCGAATGCCAGGAGGAAGCCCTCTTGACACTTTTCTATCCTCTCGACGCAAACAAGGCCTGGGCGATCTGCAGATACAAAGAAGCAGAACTGTCGTTATTACTCGTTTACCTTAATGAATTCCTGATCATAAATCAGGAAAAACAGGACAATTCTGTTGTTACGAAAGAAAGGAGCGAGACCAAGGACATCTGGCTCTGTCACAAACAACTTCTTTGACCCTCTGCACTTGATTCATCAGTACTATCCCTGTTAAAACAAGGAGATAATCCTTTTCTTCATCCTTTGCCTGCTTTGCCCATTCAAAGCATAGCTGTTCCTTGCAGTGACGAGAGCAACAGATACTTGATCTCATCTAAGGCTTCTATCTATATCTTACTGTAAAACAACTAATAAGGAACAAAAAAAAAATCCTTGCCAGATATCTAAGCCACAGAACTGGCTCTCTGGGAAAGAACTGCAGTCTCTGACCAAGGCATTGATCCACACGTGAGCTGCAAAGGAAACTGTTAACGGAGCATCGAGGGACAACAAAGGCCAAAAGTTTGGCCGATTGTCTCAACCAGCACCCAGACGGGTGCTGGAAAAGCTCCTTTCACAAGTCACTCTTCAGCAGACACTTCTGGGAAAGCTGGCCCTCTGGACTGCCTTCTGAAACCCCTACTTGTATATCGCTGTGCAGAGAACTAAAAAGAAATCAAAATGTTTTGATTGGTAAAGTCAAGTACTGTGTTGTGATTAATGTGGAAACCTTTCTGTCTCAGATGCAGCTCATGCTTGTAAATCACTGTCTGTGTATTGTTATTTAGTACCCAGTCTTCAAAGTGGTCTTAAACCAAAACCTTGCCAAATCTGCCACTGCCCAAGAATGGAATTTCCTCTTTGGGCTGGCACAGTCAGTGGAAGTATATTCGAAAACATACTTGATCTGAGCAGGGAAGAAATGCTTTGCAACTCATACGAAACGGTCTCTGTTGATTCTGTATCACACCACCAAGAGACCAGTCGCAAATGGTCCCACTGGAGGGAAACAGCACGGCTCTCAAAGGCCCACTGGCAAGTGGTGGTGCCATTCAGCAGGTCAAACTGAGCACGTGAGAATGATGGAAACGTGTACGCACTGCACTTCCCGCCCAGCACATGGCAGTACCTAGGGGAAGAGGGAACTTACTGCACGGACAACTGTTGCTAAATTACCAGTTTTTCATTCAAGGCAAATTGGCTCAGAACCAGGCCTGATTTCTTTCTGCTGATCATCCCTGCCTCCTCCCCAGGTACTAAACTGAGCAAGGTGTGTTACCAAAGCCGCTTTTATGCCCTTCTCTCTGACTACCCTGAATTTTTTTCCTAGTGCTCACCAAACTCGTTCCAAGCTGCACTGGGATTTTGAGAGAGAATTTCTCCCACATTACTCTAGTCAGCACTACAAGATCTAACATGCCCAGTTCTTTTTAAAAGAGGCTTGCGACAAAGACTAAAGAGTTTCGAAATGGTTGAGGTCCCAATGTATTTCTGTTCTCACCTGATGACATGAGTAGAACAGCCTGAAGAAGGGCAACCTCGGTGTCATCCAGGTTAAATGAAGAGAGAGACATGCCCAGGTCAAAAATGGCATCAGACACTACGCCAAGACCCCCATTTTTCAGCTGGCCCCTTGTCACCGCCATCTCCCCATTTAGTGTTAAAGTCTCACTCTCGGGGTCATAGCGAACTGCTGCTCGGAGGGACATTATCTCCATACAGCAGCCTTTCAGAAGGATGATCTGGTCTTCACATGGCAGCTGCAGAAAATCATAAACGGTAAAGAAAAAGATGTGTTTTTCAAACTGAGTTGGTTTTATGACTGCAATAAATCCATGAGCACGAAGTGGCCACTCACACCCTAGGACACTGCCTCGCACAGCGCAGCTACCCTCCAAACACGCTGCTGACCGACTGGTTCCAGAACACGGCAGAACCCTCCGAGACTCACACTCCTGCTTCCAGAAACCGCCGGCAGGTTAACACTCCCGCACACCCTTAGGAAATCTAGTGATCACACAGCTGTAGGCAAGCGGTCCTGGGCAAGATACTCAAAGCAAACCAAGCTGGTTCAGACGCTGAGGTGAAGTGACCCAACTTGCAGCAGCGCTGCTCTCCATGGGACCACTCGGTTTCTGGGAGCATTATAAAGTTAAGTCCAATAAACTTGCAGAACGAAGCTTTCTATTGTGCAGAACGTTTCACGAAGTGTGAAGGGTGAAGCAGACCTGTCAGGTGCCGGGTTGGTGGTAACATGTACTATTGGTTTTGTCTCCCATCAGGGGTGGATCTAACTGAGATTGCTGCAGCGGTCACCGTTATCAGCTGTTTACCCTTCTCTCTTCTACTCCTGAGCTCCCTCAGCTTACAACTTAGCGTAACAGAACAAACTAGAACTGGTGCTGGTACAGACCTCAGCCATCCCAGTTAAACTCACTGCCAGCCATGCTTATTTCTTACCAGCGGAAAAGAAAGACATTTGGGAGGGTCCATAAGAGTGGACTGCTTTTTAAATAAAAGGAATGAAATAAATTTTTGTATCTAGAAGAGATACCTCAATCACTGGGGCATGTACTCTTAATTCTCACTGCCCATTCAAACAACAGAGAACTTATTCAGCTACATTTAGCCTAGTAAGGCTGATCTCCTTGGACTCCCTACATTATCGCCAGACAGATAGAAAATCTGTGGTATAGCTCCAGCTTTTACACCGGTGCACAAGCTGTGATCTTCAGGGCTCGTAGCTAGAGTTGTCTTTTCCACCACATTAAAAAAGGGAGGCTGCCTGAATTAGTGGAGGTAGATTCTGTATTTATGAAGTGTCACCAGGATGCTCACACATTAGGAGAACGTGTTCTGTAAAGCACCTCTTTGTTTTCATAGGTAATTCAATGATAGCAAAAACCACCAAGACTATTTTGAGACTGTCACTAAATGAACAGCAAAGAGTCACTTATATGAAAAAGCAACTCATTTCTACTTGGATTGAAAGAAGGCAAAAATCCATCCATTTCTGATTCATATAAAGTTTTTATATTTACCTGAATTGCAATTCAAAATGAAAAAAAAAACCACCAACTACAGGTTTACTGTGTACTTGCAAAGCAAATACATTGATTTAGTGTAAAATGATGTAGAGTGGATGCCAGACAAGTGGAAAGCAGTTTCCTGTTAAAGAAGAGTTTTAAGCCCAAAGCCAGCCCCAGTCAGAAAAAAAGGAGTTGAATCATGCAGCTATTATTCCAGCAATGCCAACTTCAGGTGTAAAGCGTCTGATACACAAGAAAAATGACTCATCCTGTTTAGGGCAAATCCCTTTCTCTGCAGATCACGCTCAGCTCAGCAGCAGCGTGGGGAACGCTGCACCGGCACAGTGGCAGTCTCGCTACCCAGCGGCAATGCCATTGTTTCGCTGCTGAGATGAAGTA